AGGAGAGGTGCCCCCTGGGCAAGTTTTTAAAAAAGGGGGGGGGGGGGAACGGCAGGTGGAGTGATGGTTAAGGGGCTGGACCCACATGGCCAACTGCGGTTCGAGTCTCAGACCTGATGGCTTGCTTTTTCTTTCTTTCTCTCTCTCCTCTCTGTCCCTCTTTAGTGAAATTATAAATACATAAAGTTAAGCAAAATAAATCCTTAGAGAAAAAGAACATTCACACTGACCTTCAGGGCATATGAGATTCTATAGCCGGTACCTTACGATTCACTGTAACAACACTGCTGTGGTGACTGGGACTCAGAATTACAGTTCATTCTACTGACTACGTTAAAGAACATAACAGGCTCTAGTCCATCAACTGTGGTTCTAAAAATCAGCCAAAGCCATTCAACGACCTGTTAGCTCCAAACAAGGCCACAGCAACATGTCGCAGGGCACGGCCTCCCTGATGTGCCGCTAGGGGCATATCGGAGTCCGTCTAAGACTCAGTCCGCCAGAGCACCTGAGCTCAGAGACGGCCAGGCCAATGCCCTCCTCTCCTCTGAGAGGACAGGAGCAAATCACGAGAAGAAAAGAACTTCCGGGAACACCCCACGTGCAGGCTGCACTCGGAGATCACGAGTACTATCAGCCACCGGATGCACAGAGAGCTCCTATAAACTCCAGGCAGGCTGCGGACTTCCTGAAGGAAGTGAAGTGGTGGGAGAGGGCAGGAAGCGCGCGTGCACCTCCAAGGGCTTATTTCCTTTCCCTTAAAACTTAAGAGACTGGGGCTGGCAGGTGGCGTGGTAGTTGGGGCCCTGGACTCCCACATGGCTGACTGTGATCCAAATCCCAACCTTGGCTGCTTGCTTTCCCTCCGTCCTTCCCTGGTCAAACTGAAGAATAACAACAAATAAAACAAATAATTCTTTTTTTAAAAAAAGAAAAAACCTTAAGGGACAGGCTCTGGAGCAAGAGAAATGACTGTATCTATGAAGGCTCTGCCAGGATCCTTTCTGATGAGAGTAATGAGGGTTTGTTCAAAGAGCAGCAATAGGCAAGAGCTCACTGCTCTAAAACATCAGTTAGGAAGAACAAGGGGACCAGCAGATGACATACTGATTACAATCCTGGACTCCTACATGGTCAACTGTGGTTTGAGTCCCAGACCCGGCAGCTTCAAACTCACGCTGGGTGTGTGTGCATGCGTGCCCAAAATCCCAAGAGAAGACTGGAGGAGAAGGGATTGTGGCATGGCCACCCCCCAGAGGGAGGAGGGAGAGTGATTTCTTGTTTTCCATCTCTCTTTTTCTCGGCAAGAGCATATACCCTAGAGCAAAAATCTCAGCCCCAAAAAGAAGAAATAATAAGCCTAGCAACGGTGGTTGTTAAGGTGATTGGATCCCACAGGGCCAACCGCAGTTCCAGTCCAAGACCCAGAGGCTTGATAAACACTCAGCGTGTGTGTGTGTGCATGCCCACAATCCCAACAGGAGGGAGCGATGGAGGAGAAGGGAGTGTGGCATGGCCATTTCCTATGGCGGGAGAGGCAGGTGCACTCACATTCTCTCTCTCACAAGCCCAGAACTTTTCTAAAAAGAAACGATAGGTTTTACTTACAGGAGTTGTGCCGACGGCGGAAACTCTTGGACTGACCCAACGCCTCCATGTGCCTGTCTACATAGCTCTTTGAGCACTGCTGCTGGGGAGAGACAGCAGCCTCCTGGCTCTTCACGTCCGTCCTCCTGGGGATGTTCTGGGGGGCACTGCTGGAAGAGGCCGGCTTCTTGACCAACTTGCCCATGCCATTCTGATTGACACCTACTTGGTACCCAATGCCAGAGGGGCCTAATTCTGTCTGATGAAGGTCTCCAAAATGTTGGCTGTCTCCGGGACCTGGAATCTCCAGAATTTTTAATTCCGTAATATCACCTGCCCTGAAATACACAAAAGAGCCCAAATCTCAAAATCGCAACAAAGGTAAGTACGATGAAATGGACAAACAGCAAATGGCCATCCCTTTGCAGGGCTATGTTTTGGTTATCAGAGGTAAACACCAGGGATAGGGGCCAGAGGTGGTGTGCTGGCGTGGTGCTGGATTCCCGCACGGATGACTACGGTTCCAGCCATGCATGCACACTCACCCAGCGTGAGTTTAAGCTGCCGGGTCCGAGACTCTAACCACAGTCAACTGCATGGGAGTCCAGTGACACAACCATTACAGCAGCTGCTGGTCCCCAGAATTTTTTTTTTTTTTTTTGGGGGGGAGAGATTTTTTTCACTGTAGGGCGCGTGCGCTCGCCAGACAGACAGAGAGAGACATAGAGACAGAAAGCGAGAAATCACCCCCCAGGGGGGATGGTCACGCCGCAATCCCTTCTCCTCCATTCTCCTCTCGGGATCTTGGGCACGCACACACACGCGCCCGGCGTGAGTTTTAAGTGACCGGGTCCAGGACCCGAACCGCGGTCGACTACGTGGGAGTCCAGCGACATAGCCATTACGCTAACTGCTGGTTCCCAAGAATTATTTTTTTATTTGCTATAGAACAAGTGTGCTCACCAGAGAGCGGGTGTGTGTGTGTGTGTGTGTGTGTGTGTGTGTGTGAGAAAGCAAGTTGCCAGGTCCAGGACACGTGGCCATGTGGAAGTCCAGTGCCTTAACCACCATGCCACCTGCTGGCCCTGAGTAAACCAAGCTTAAGAGGTGAGCAAAAGATGGGCTGGCAGGTGGTGTGCAGTTAAAGCGATGGGTCTCCCATGGCCAACTGCGTGGTTTTGCGTCTCAGACCCAGCAGTTTGAAAATCATGCAGGGCTTGTGTGCCTGGGTCCCCAAATCCTAAGAGGACAGTGAAGGGTGGGACGGCAGTATGTACGACCCTCTTGAGAGGGTGATTTCTTTCTCTCTTCCCGAGAGCACGTGTGCCCTGTGATAAAATAAAAAACAAATGAAAAAACAAAGCTGCACCTGAAGACATGAAAAGGACGGCGTAAGGTCTGAAAGGAGGTAGAAAGGAGCTTCGAATGCACACAAGACAAGGGGAGCCTGAACACTGGGGTGCTGCCCTGACGGGGACTGCAGAGGGAGCAAGCAAGGACAGCCACGTGTGGGTGTGTGCGTGGAGGGAGCCGATCAGAAACCCAGGAATGGGCCAATTAGTGGCCCATTGCACAGTTCAAGCCCCAGACCTGGCAGCTTAAAAACATGCCAGGTGAGAGACCAGCAGGTGGCGTGGTAGTTAAGGGCACTGGACTCCCACATGGCTGACCACTGTTCGAGTCCCAGAACTGGTAGCTTAAAACACATGCAGCGTGTGTGTGTGGGCGTGCCCAAGATCTCAAGAGAAGAACAGAGAAGGGATTGCAGCATGGCCATCTCCACTGGGGGGCAGGGTAGGGTGATTTCTCTGTCTCTCTTTCTCTGTTGTTTCAGTGAGCACATATGCCCTATAGCAAAAATCTCTCATAATAATAATAATAAGGAACTTAGATGTAAGAATGCACAAATAATACAAAACTTAGGGAAAAAAATCTGAAACCATAAGAGGAAAAAAAGGCTATTCTAAATTTGACCTATTTAATAATTATTTTTATTTAACTTTATTTTATTCTTATTTTGACCAGAGAAGGACAGAGTCAGAGTGAAAGAGGGAAAGCGAGAAAGCAAGTCACCAGGTCAGGGACTGGAACCGCAGTCAGCCGTATGAGAGTACAACACTCTTACCATGCCACCTGCCAGCCCCTAAATTTGACCTATTTAAATAACATAATATTTTCTTAAGCCTTCTATTTCTTTCCTTATCTATGTATTTGTTGTGAGTTTCAAGCTGCCGGGACCGGGGGTTGAACCACGATTGACCATATGGGTATCCAGCACTTCAACCATCACGCCACCCGATTGACTCCATATACTACATGTCTGCCAGAGCAAAGAAAAAGGTTTCAGAAAGCCTGCATCATGAGCTGAGAACTAATTACAACACAGTCCCTGCCGACAACAGCGGCCGGACCTAAGGCTGCAGAATCTCACACCAGGTAAGACTCCACTCAGAGCAACCCTGAGGGCAGACAATGGCAGCGGCAGATCCTGACTCTCTGGGAGGCCATCCCACGGACGGGCTCCCCACTCAGGCCCACAGACTCCGTGCAAACACCGGCACGCACGTGCCCGTGGCTGGCCTGGCTGAGGCTGGGGATTACCGTTAAAACCCTGTTGGGGGTGCACATGCTCACTCTCTCATTCATGGAAGAAAAAAACTTAAACAGCAACAAAAAAGGCAGCCCTTGTAAACAAATACTGGCGATCAGATTTAGGTCCAAGGTCCAGACACTGGTGGGATGAATCCGGAAGAATGCGTCGGGACACTTACCTGAAGGTGACTTCTGGCACGAGACACTTCACGCCATTGTGGAACGGCCGCGTGAGAGAGATGGTCTGGCTGACCTGGTCCACCGCCGACACTCTGCCCTGATAGACGCCCAAGCTGTTGCCACAGTTGATGGACACGATGCTGCCCAGCCAATCTGTAGCCATGTTTCAGACGTGAAACCACCAGGACGAGGAGGAACCGATCATTCAGTGCACCTTGAGGAACGGACAAACCTTTGAGTAAATTCAGCAAACCGTCGGAGCGCATACCGAGTGTCACTTAACAATCTCATCAATAACTGAAGTGGTAAAGCATGAAAACTTGAACCCTGCTTCAGTAGGAGTACCAGATTAAGAGGTCACCAGTATTACTGAACACTAATTGCCCTAAAGTGCATGCATTAAAGGTATTGTTTACCAGACACCAAGTTACACAAACTACATCTTATTTATACTGTATTTTAATGAGCCTGCCATCAATATACTTTCAGAGCAAACATGGCCAAGACATAAAAGACTAGGCCTAGCCTGGTTGAGGGAGCTAGATCCCACCACAGGGTCAACCACATGGTCTGAATCCTGCACCAGCAGACTGAAAAAAAAAGAAAAAAAGAAGAAAGAAAGAAAGGAAGGAAGAAAACAGAAAGAACCACCATGCAAACGTGTGGGAGAGAAGGGGCAAAACCCAAACCCTCCCACTCTGGCCACAGGGTATTCTGCAGCCAGGAGCCTTGGCCACATGAGATGCGGGTGGGAGTGAGAGGAAAGAGAGGCATTCCGGTGACTGAACAGGGCCAGTACGTGGCACCGCTGGAGACGTCGCTCATCGGAGGCTGGTCCTGAGTGAGCAGCCAGAGGTGGTGCTGCTGCTGAAATAACCGTCAGTACATTAGAGCCAGCCAGCAGCTCTGGACCAGCTCTGGAGCCTGGCGGTCAGGCCCCATGAGGCTGAAAGCATGGTTCAAATTGTGTTCCAAGCGGTTTGAAAAACATGCCAGGTACATGTGTATGCATGCCAAAAATCCCAACAGAATGGAGATTGCTGGGTGATTGATTTATATCAGTAACTAAACACAAGTGTTAATACTTTGAAACTGTGCCTACCAGTTGGCAAATATGTATCTATTTCCTTTAATATTAGCAGAAACTTTAAAAAGTAATCACTGAGTATGTAACAACCTGCCCTTTCCTTTCACCCAATTTTCTTTCTATACAATGTATCATTGTATGATCCCAAACTCACCAGACTGGCTTTTTCAATAAAGAAAAAGCAGTTAGCGTAATGGCTATGTCGCTAGACTCCCATGTAGTCGACAGCAGTTCGAGTCCCGGACCCGGTGGCTTAAACTCACGCCGGGCACATGTGCGTGCATGCCCAAGATCCCGAGAGGAGAATGGAGGAGAAGGGATTGCAGCGTGGCCATCCCCTCTGGGGGGTGATTTCTCGCTTTCTATCTCTCTGTCTCTGTCTTTCTGGTGAGCGCACGCGCCCGGTAAGAATAAAACCTCTTAAAAAAAAAAAAAGAAAATAAAGAAAAAGAAAAAAAGAAAAGGCCTGGGGCCAGCAGGTGGCTTGGTGGTTAAGGGTGCTGAACGCTCACATGGGCAACCACGGTCCAAGTTAAGACTCCTCCTCACTCTGCAATTTGGAGATTTATTGAAAAATCAATGGATGGAGCTGACAGGTCTATGCCTCCCACACACCAAAACACTTGACAATGAAAGGGCAACACAGCTCACTTATCAAAGGGGGGTGCTCAGCCCAGTTAGGTCCTGATTTGGATCACATGCCCTTTTTTATTCCAAGCATGCAGACACAAGCATTCTGCTGGTCCTGTGTGCACCTCTGCGGCTTCCCCTAGAGTGCTGGGTGTCCACGTGCTTCTCTTGCTAACAGAAGAGCATCCTGGCTGTCTCACAGTCTCAAAAAGTGTAACAGCTTTAAAAACTCAAAAGGAGTCATGTGTGTCAACCCTAAATAGATCAACCTCTAAAGAAGGCCATCGGAAAGGTTTCATCACACAGGCATGCCTGATAACAAAAACTGATTTTAAAATATCTGCAGAACCACAACGTTGCACGGAGACCACTGCAGCCCCTCCCGAGGACTACCTCTACAGGAGCGCCTGTCCAGTCTCCCACGAACGCCACTCTTACTGATCCTGCAGCCAAGGGTAACGGTCCCCAAACAATCATAAATCCCTTCTCCCCTCTGGCTTGTGATCTTTGCCTTTCAAACTTGCCAGAGCTTTGAAAAGCCACAGTGAGCACAGATCTGGGGCTACCTGAAATGGGTGCATCCCTGCGGCAGGCCGGCCCCTACCCTCCTGTTCTGACTTAGAATAAACCTCTCTCAGTATTAAAAGTAAAATAAATACGACCAGTATGGCACGAAGGGCCCTGATGGGTAAAACCCGCAGACCTACCCCGCGGGCGGGAACGAGCCGGGACGCTCGGCGATTCGATCGGACCTGCGCCCGGCAGGGAGCCGTCTCTCAGCCGCCCCTTCCTTCGAGCTCCGGTGGATGCGGCTCTTGCGCAAAAGGAGGCTGAGTACGGGGCGAGGAAGGAGCGTGTGAGCCGCGGCGGCCACCAACCGGCTCCACGGGGAGCGCAGGCCACCCCGGCCCGCACCTCGCACGGCCCAGACCGGCTGGGACCCCGAGGGCCGCGGCCGCCCACGTCCGAC